TATGTGAGAAGGAGGATTTTAAATTCTATTCTGGATTTAACAGGAAGCCAATGAAGAGAAGCCAGGATAGGAGAGATATGATCTCTCTTTTTCATTTTCATCAGGACTCTGGCTGCAGCATTTTGGATCAGCTTTTGTACTTCTCCGCTCTAGTATTTGGTTTATTTCAGACTGAGGATGTTTGAAATCGTCTTTTATCCTGATTCTCTCTCTGCAGGCCTCGCCCCACGGTCCGGCCTGGTGCTGGTGGCTGCTGTCGGTGCTCCAGCTGGACCCCGCCTATCAAACCACCTTCCTGTCGCTGACCTCCCTGAAGGACCGCCTGGGACACCTCCGCCTCGTCCTCGAGTACTTTTCTCAGAGCTAGATCCCAGAGCGCTGCCACCGCTTACCTAGGGTTCAACATAACGCACACAAAGAGTCAAACCAGCGAACGCACGCACAAAACACCGAGCTCCAGGTCGGCTTCAGGCTAAAAGCAGACAGCTGAGGATCTGACTTAGTTTTTAATTTCTGCCATTTGATTTTGCATATAAGGATCTTTGGAAACTTTTATATCGGACGAAACTTTGGGACAAACCAAAGACAGTTCTGGGTTATCAAAGCTTGCTCTACACAGAGAGTTTGAACCGGGTCACTTTTCCAAATATTGTGCTGTAGGCGAAAACTGGGTGATTATTATTAGTATTATTTTTTTCCCCCACATCACAAAGAACATAAAACAGCCTCTGATGCCTGTTTTAGCCAAACGTGGAGACAGATTCGACATTAGAGGCTCATCTGGGGGATTTTATGGTGAAACCGGTAACATTTGTCTGACCTGTCGGCCTTGGCAGCCGTTGAATGTGGCCTGTTTTATACTGATAAGTGGTTTTAAAGTAAAGTACTTCTATTTCGCATTAAGGTTTGGCAATAACTGACCCTGCAGCAGGTGGAGGATGCAGGTGGAGGATGCAGGTGGAGGATGCTGCTTCACCTTCGCATTTATCTTAAGCAACTTTTTTGACTTTGTGACGTTTAAAAGATGCGATCGGCTGATAAGAAACGCAACATGCTTGTTTTTAGTGAAAAGATGCTCGCCGTGTTTATTTCAGGTGTAAATACATATTTTTTGGTTCCTGCTCTTTCAGCATGAGGTGCTGTTAGCACTGATAGCACCGGCTGTTAAACTGTGTTAGCAGGTCTTAAGCAGGGACGGTCATCAGTTTGGATTTCACGACACCTACCTCTGGCCCCGAACTCCATCTCTGCATGGGTCTGGCCCGTCCTCCGCCGCCGGCCGCGGTTCCCTCTGAGTGCCTGGGCCCCATCTTCTGGGTGAAGTCTTAACATGTCTGCAGGACTTCAGCAGTGGACTGTTTCGTGTTTGGTTTCTATTTGCTGTAGTGCTACATTCCATGGAATGTTAAAGCTGTTAATTCACTAACAACTACGGGCGTAACTGGGTGATTTTTTTTTTGTTTTTTACACTTTAATAAATGTGCCATAGATATCTATGTGTTTAATGCTTTGAAGTTGTTACTGTTGTCTCATGAAAAGAAGCATTTTTTTGTTTGTTTGTTTGCTGGACGGGGCGACTACAGCCTGTGTTTGATGCCTAAAGCAAAGTCGGACGATTTTCTTTATCGTTGGTGGATTTGTACCTTTGAAAGGGGAAGCTGCGCTGGTGTGGGGATGTTTCTATAGCTGTGGATAAAAACTGACGTTTTTTTTACTTGAATTATCCCCATAGGTCGATCAATTGAATGAAACCAGTTGGTTAACAGGCTCATCTTTGTGATGGAAGTACTTCCTGATTAGAGCTATAATGTAAATCAAAAAGGGACTGACATCCTAAGATTGACGGAGACCTTCAGTTTTTTAATCTCTTCATTTCCGTTTACTGATAACTTGCTCTTTTACTGCAGGTGCATCTCAGTTGGAACCATGAAAACTTTGTTTTCATGACTCAGTTCAATACTTAGATCTATTAAACGTAACTCTGGATCTAAACTGACTTAGATTTTGTGCCCCTCTCCTCTTTCTTTGACTCTGGAATTAAAAATGGAAAAAAAGCTCGACCCAAAAAGAGGACTTTAGACCACTAAAATCCCACCCAGTCCTTTTCTTTTAGCCCAGATTCTCCAGACATTGTTGAGAGGTTTACGCTCTGCACAAATTTGAAACCCATCACCCCCAATCACGTGAATGAGCTTCTTAACAATCCCCTCAAGGCCACTTCCACCTTTACCTGTCGCACTTTTTCCTTCCACTAAACTTTTCATATCTATGTTTTGCTGCAGCTTTCTGTGAGTCTTCAGCTACTTTAGCGACGGCCTTTTGTGACTGACCCTCATCATGGATGGTTATGGAGTATGGAGGGAAATTTATTCCATTATTGTTGCAAAATAACGTGTTTCGTAAATGAAAATAAAACAAAATGCAACCAAGAAATGAAACAAAAAAACAACTACTACAACTATTAAATATTTCATGTAAATCAGCTGTTTTCTCAGATTTTACTTTCAAATTTTTTTTTATTATTTTATTTTGTCATTTAAAAAAAATATTTAATAATAATAATAATACATTTTATTTGTATTGCACTTTACATTTAAAAAGAAATCTCAAAGTGCTCCAAAACTCATAGTTAAAACAAAACCGTACAACAAAAACAGTATACATATTTAAAATGAGACATTACAATAAAATAACATACGTAGTAAAAACAAAACAGTAAAATAACCATAAAACCACACAGATAAAATACTAACTAATGTTCAAAGGCTTTTTTAAATAAAAATGTCTTGAGGCCTCAATCAAAAAAACGTTTTTTCATGTTTATTTTTCATCAGAGTTTTATGAAATGCATTTTATTAAATATTATTTTACAGAATTATTTTACTTTTTCTGCTGCATTTAGAGGCGAAGACACATTTTTATTGGTCTG